TCACTGAGTTACGCAAGCCCCTTCGCCATGACAAGGCAGTGATCCATGAAGGGGAAAAAAAGAACATATGGGAGTTAAATCTTTATATTCTGATTATGGTAACATTCATCTTACATTAAAAACAATTCTGAAGGACTAATTATTGCTATCAACTGAACTTGAATTTGTCTCCTTTTATTCAGTGCAGCAGTTTCTTTGAGGAATTTTGTTGCATAATGTTTAAATATCTGTTTTTATTTGCTCTAATCTTATAGCTCCCCTCAAGGTTAATCTGCAGTGGCATGCCATGTTGCCCAAATGATTTAAAGAATGAAAGCTTCCCTAAAAAAAATTTGCTTACAGACTGCCTTAGAGGTAGATATTATTTTAGAGAGTATTACATGTAGATTTTTAGATATAAAAGTTACAGGCACAAATTCTTTTCAAGCACAAGTAATATCTATTTATGGAAAGAGGAATACACTTTTTTCCAGCTTATTCATGAAGACAAGTTTGTGTAATCATCCTAGCATTACACAAAATAAAAATTTAAATATGCAGCTGCATAATCAATGAAATGAGATGTTGATTAACACTCCTCACCCCAATCCTGAGGAGAAACATAATTAGTAGCTGTGTTGGTATCCCAGAAGATACATGAGTAGATTTGTCCAGTCTGCTTCATGTTGATTTATCATTATGACTAATTCATTTATATCATATCTTAACTTTATAATCAAGATCATATAAATACAGCAAGCATGTACTGCCTACTCTTACATCCTTATGTCTGTACTGTATTCTTTCTTATATGACACTTTTAAATGATACAAAAATGATTAATGCCATGAATTCTGATGTTATATAGTAATTGTAATTACTGTTATCAACATGCTGGACAATTTGACTCAACTTGACTCAGCAATCCATCAACACCCCTCCTCTCCCCCTCGACCCCCCAGAATCTAAATTAATTTGCTCGGAATATATGCAAACCTTTTGCTTTATTTAGGCCTAAACGATCAAGCTTGACTTGATCTGTCCTTGAATTTCTGTAGTTTGCACCAGTTATTGAAACAGATATCCTTTGTATTTCTGTGTCTCGTGTCATCAATAAGGCTAAATTTTAAAAGCGATTACCTTTTTGATAAGATACATGTTGTACTAAATGATTTTTTCCCCGCAGTCTTTGCAGTTCTATTTGTGCGTGGTGTTATTGGCTGCTTGATTCTTAGCAGGTTCTGAAATAATGAAATTAGGTGAGCTATGAATACATACACAACATTAATCAACAATATCTTCTACAGCACAATCCAAATTGTGCCTGGTGAACCTTGAGAAAATATGACATAAATCACTCTTCCCTTGGGCTGATAATTTGATTTTCCTTCTCCTACACATAACCATCTTTATTCCTATAGGTTCTCCATCTTGTTTTTTCTCCAGGTTGCTCATTAAATTCTGAATAATTGCGTCAAGATAGAAGTGCTCTCTCTGCAATTTATACCACAAACCTAGGAACACACTTTTGTATTCTATATTAATTATTATGGGAATAACTGTTCAGATGATTAATGCAAATGAGAAACTAGTTGTACTTTTTCCACAAGCATGATTTGAATAGTGGGGGGAATTTATCTGCTTTAATTCTTCGATTCTTCAACAGAAGATGTCAAGAGTTTTGAAGGCTTAGTGATCTGCTTTTTAGTAATTTTAATCAGGTCCCAAAGTTGGGGGAAGTTTGGGATTTCATGCGTGCTATATTTATCTGTTGCATATTTAGCAAAATGCACCCGGCAGAATATACATAACTTATTTATTTTGATTGCCAGATGACACTTATCTTTCAGTTGGGGAACAAAGAGTAGCTCCATTTCTATGGATGAAGCATTATTTAATCAAGGTTGACATTATTATTAGATAGGGACTGGCTGACTAGGATCACTATGCAAGTGAGTTATTTTAATCTGTTAAACACACTGCATTCCAAAGTGATGTGGACCTCAAAAATGACATATATTGCCCAGAGAAGTTTTGTTTTTTAATTAAGGAACAGCACAAAGAGAGCATTTCAGTAGGAAATACTGTAGCCTTTCAAACCCTGAACAGCACTGAGGAAATAGCAATGAAAACATTCACAAAACACTCAGTGGGGTACTCTCACTCCAGTGGGAGGAAAAATGCTGGCGGCGCCTTGCAAAAAAAGGAGTCGGGAGCAGTTGCCGGTAAGCGCAAAAAAAACCGCGCGCGCCCAAAAAAAGGGCGCGAAGCAATGGAACCCCCGCCTCCTGCGTTCGCCAGCTGGGCTCTGCTCTAGGAAGGAGGCTCTGGCAAACCACTTCCGAAACAATTGCCTTGAAAACTGCAAGGACTCTTCCAAGCAGTCACTGCAGAGTCGGTAGCGACTGAGCGCA